AATAAGAGAAAAAAGAAATTTTATTAAGAAAACTATCTATAATTAAAATAACTCAAATATACTATATAACTTTCTTGGCAAGATGAGATGATTTTTGTGATGCAGTATCATATGTGATGTAGTATATGATACAGCAATAATAAATATAATTTGTTATATTTATTATTTATTAAGTATTTAACTTTTATTAAAATTTTTTATAATATTGAATATTTGTAAATAAAGTTATTAATTATAAAAAAATAATTAAAATTTGTAAAAACTAAAAAAACTAAATAATTTTAATTTTAATTTTTAAATTATAAAATTTAAATTATTATTCTTATATATAATATTTAATATTAAATAATAAATAATAATATACAAGCAAAATAATATTCTTTAATTTGATAAATTAAAAAATTAAAATATTTATTTTATAAGAAAAACTTATTTAAATTAAGTAAATCATTTTATTTTTTATATTTATATATTTCTAAATTATTACTTAAAATATCTTAAGATATTATAATTCTTAATAATTATATTTCTAATTTAAATTAAAGTCAGATAGTTTTTTATTTTCAATTAACTTATAATTATTATATATATATATTCAAGAAGTATTATTAAATTTAGTTTATATTAAATCTAATTTATAATATTAGAATAGATATTTATTATAATATATAAAGTATATATAGTTATTATAAAAAGTAATATCTGATTTTTAAAAAATAAAATTTCTGATTTATTATATTTTCTATTTTATATATAATAAATTTTTTTATCACTAGCTAATATATTATTATTTTTTTATATAACTTTAAATCATTTTAATTTCTCAAGATATTGAGTTTATAATCTTCTTAAAAATCAAATATCAAATTTTTTAGAGCAATCTTAAGTCTTTTTTATAATTCTTGAGAAACTTTTGCATTTTTAATATTATTTTTTAATAAATTGCAGATATTTTTATAAGATTTGAATTATGAAAATATAATATTCATTGATTTTTTCTATTTGGTTCTATTTATAACTTTAGATCAAGTATTATTTTTTAAAACAACATATTTTCTCAAATTAATGAATAAATTATATCATAAAAATGAATTAAATTACTTAAAGAATCTTTAGATAAGTTTTTGCACAGATTTTTTATTGCCAATATCATGAAATGGCTCAGAATATCTTTTTTAGTTTCTTGCATATACTGTATGCATTTTTTTGATTATTAAGTGCTTATAATCTCTTAGACAGTGGTAACTTTTCATTTTTCCTGTCTCTTTTAGAGATTATATACTATTACCAGGTATGGCACATTTTTCTTCAGCTTGCTTGGCACTCATAATTTCAATAAAAATCATTATTTTATCCTTGTCAAAGATGACCAACCGGTATAATAGATATCATATTTACATCTAAAAAAATTCGGCGCTTAAGAGTAAAGAAGAAAATAATAAAAAAATTAGGGTCAACAATAACAAAAAGTGGAAAAACGCGACACACATATTATCCATATCATTACATATGCAAATCGCGCGTCATATAAAGTAGCGACTGTACATGTACTAGGAAAAGTTTATTTCGTAAATAAAGCTATAAATTTGTGAGAATTATAACATTTTGAAATACAGAAATTAAGTGAATTTTTGAGCTATTGCTAACGGTCTCTGATAACACTAACTAATTAAATCAAAAATAAGAATATATTTTTTCAAAATTGAATGATTCAACAAGTTCTCCAGCTCGATCATGGCCATTTTCATGTGCTTTTCTATACCAACTTAATGCCATGTTGAGATCAATTGGAATTCCGAGTCCGCGTTGATAACATTCAGCCACTTTGAATTGAGATTTATTCAACCCAGATTCAGCAGCTCTTAAATACCATTCAAAGGCCTTTTTCTCATTTCTAGATGTTCCATTTCCTTGAAAATAGCATTCCCCAAGAAAATGCATTGCATATAAAGCACCGCTATTTTCTGATTCAGCTGATTTCTGAAAATACGAAAATGCTTTCTGTAAATCTCTATCAATTCCCTCGCTATAATAATAGCATCTACCAAGACTATATTGTCCTCTAGCATCTCCATCTTCCGCTAACTTAAAATACCACCCAAATGCTTTTTTCTCGTCTTTTTGAGTTCCGAAACCAGTTTCATAACAACAACCAAGTTTGTATTGTCCTCTTGCGCTTCCATTCTCTGCTGATTTCGAATACCACTCAAACGCTTTTTTCTCATCTTTTTGAGTTCCAAAATTATTTTCATAGCACCAACCAAGTTCGTATTGTCCTATCGTACTTCCATCCACCGCTGATTTCAAATACCACTCAAATGCTTTTTTTTCGTCTTTTCGAGCTCCGAAACCATTTTTATAACACCAACCGAGATTATTTTGTCCTCTAACATCTCCACACTCGGCTGATTTCAAATACCATTCAAATGCTCTTTTCTCATCGCTTTGAGTTCCGAAACCATTTTGATAACACCAGCCCATATTATATCGACTATTTATATGTCCACCTTCCGCTGATTTCAAATACCACTCAAATGCTTTTTTCTCATCTTTTTGAGTACCGAAACCAGTCCCGTAACACCAACCGAGCCTATTTTGTCCTTTAACAGCACCACTCTCCGCTGATTTCAAATACCACTCAAATGCTTTTTTCTCATCTTTTTGAGTGCCGAAACCAATTTGATAACACTCACCAAGTTTGTATTGTCCTTTCGCGTTTCCACCCTCTGCTGATTTCAAATACCATTCAAATGCTTTTATCTCGTCTTTTTGAGTTCCGTAACCAGTCTCATAACACCAACCAAGTTTATATTGTTCTTTTACGCTTCCACCCTCCTCAGATTTCAAATACCATTCAAACGCTTTTTTCTCGTCTTTTTGAGTTCCAAAATTATTTTCATAGCACCAACCAAGTTCGTATTGTCCTATCGCACTTTCAACCTCGGCTGATTTCAAATACCACTCAAATGCTTTTTTCTCATCTTTTTGAGTTCCAAAACCATTTTTATAACACCAACCAAGCTTATATTGTTCTTTCGCGTTTCCACCCTCTGCTGATTTCAAATACCACTCAAATGCTTTTTTCTCATCTTTTTGAATTCCAAAACCGTTTTGATAACACCAGCCTAGATTATATTGACTATTTATATGTTCACTCTCCGCTGATTTCAGATACCACTCAAATGCTTTTTTCTCATTTTTTTGAGTGCCGAAACCATTTTGATAACACCAACCAAGTTTGTATTGTCCTTTCGCGTTTCCACCCTCTGCTGATTTCAAATACCATTCAAATGCTTTTTTCTCATCTATTTGAGTTCCGTAACCAGTCTCATAACACCGACCAAGTTTATATTGTCCTTTTACGCTTCCACCCTCTGCTGATTTCAAATACCATTCAAATGCTTTTTTCTCATCTATTTGAGTTCCGTAACCAGTCTCATAACACCAACCAAGTTTATATTGTTGTTTTACGCTTCCACCCTCTGCTGATTTCAAATACCACTCAAATGCTTTTTTCTCATTTTTTTGAGTGCCGAAACCATTTTGATAATACCAACCAAGTTTGTATTGGCTATTTATATGTCCACCCTCCGCTGATTTCAAATACCATTCAAATGCTTTTTTCTCATCTTTTTGAGTTCCAAAATTATTTTCATAGCACCGACCAAGTTCGTATTGTCCTTTCGCGTTTCCACTCTCTGCTGATTTCAAATACCATTCAAATGCTTTTTTTTCGTCTTTTTGAGTGCCGAAACCCTTTTGATAATACCCACCAAGTATGTATTGGCTATTTATATGTCCACCCTCCGCTGATTTCAAATACCACTCAAATGCTTTTTTCTCATCTTTTTGAGTACCGAAACCAGTTTTGTAACACCAACCGAGACTATTTTGTCCTTTAACAGCACCACTCTCCGCTGATTTCAAATACCACTCAAATGCTTTTTTCTCATCTTTTTGAGTGCCGAAACCATTTTGATAACACCAAGTTTGTATTGTCCTATCGTACTTCCACCCTCTGCTGATTTCAAATACTGTTTGAATGCTTTTTTCTTCTTATCTTTTTGAGTTCTGAAACCCTTATGGAGGTTTGAATCACTAAGCTCATTGATTTTCATGGTAGAAACACGTAGTGATAGAGAATGAATGATTGTGACGATTGCTACATGTACATTTATATATACGTGTACATGTACCCTGTACATGCACATGTATGTGTAAGTACTGTAACTGCAACGTCGTCGTTATCAGTCAGCATTATTTAATTTAGGTAAATTCGGCCGTATCATGATTATCGGTTGTGACATTCAGATGAATTATATGTAAATGTACTTGTTCTTTTAATTCATAAATATTTTTTAATAGTGTTTTTATGTTTTCGTATTTTACAAAGTCATTTTGTTTCGCAAACATAATTTATAAAAGCTTGTCGTCTTTTTAACGTATTAATATTTATGTGTCTGGTATGAGATCTTGACAATTCATGAGCCAGACAAAAGAAATCCGGAAGGAGCGGCGTCTCGCATTATCTGAAATCCCCAAATGGTTGAAATCCTGAATGAACGTAGTACGATTTCGTACTTTCGGGATTTTCGTTTATTAACTGTCGGGATTGTGTTTTTTTCTGAACAAGATCGGCAACTGGAA